TGGATTTTTATCCAACATATATTATATTTCACTCGCTTCTTCCTTTTCAGGGTCACTGGGGTCCCTGGTGCCCATATCTAGCATTCATTGTGTGAGGTACAGGGTACACACTGGACAGGTCCCAAGTCCATCACAGGGACACATAGAGACAAACAACCATTCACTCTCTCACTTATACCCAGGAAAAAAATTAGAGTTGTCAATTTGGTTAATTATTTTCTTGTTAAAATGTTAATAAATCTTATGCCTATTTGTGTTTACATCCCAAAAATCACTAAATCTTCCCAGAGAACGCCAAACACCTTATTGACATCTCAAGAAATGTTGGCAATTTATCAGTTTATTACTTTGTGTTGGGTTCTTCCACATGCTAGTGAGGATCCAGTTTGTCAGCTAGAACAGCCTCACTCCTTCTTATACTGCTCACCACAGCTTGGTCACACGCTCCCATTCTTTAACCATTGGTCACAAATCAGCCAATGTGGTTGTGTTGGTTACTCTAGAATGAACAGCATGTCCAAGGTGATTTCACAGGTGTTCAATGGGGTTAGATTCAAGACTGCAGGCAGAGAATTTCAGCCTCTCCACTCCTGAATTGTGGATAAAGCTTGCTCTGTGGGAGTAACCATTGTCATTCTGGAGGATAAAATTTGATCCAGACTGTGGCGATAAGGGACTCAGGGATACTAATTGTGGTACTATTAAAAAAATAAATAAACAGTCTCTCCGAGAATATAGGATTTATCACCAATAAGCACTGATACAGAAAAGAAATGTTTGTACAAATAAAAATGTTCTTATTTTTCGTGCTATGTGAAGAAGAGGTGGAAGGTAATGGCCCAGCAGTCCCAGTCTCTAAAGCCAAGTGTGGAGTGGGTAGCCCTCGATAGGACAGTCACCTCGATGCACTTCTGAATAACCCATTTCCTCAGTGAAATGACTGATGGGCTGGGATAAGATGGAAGCAGGAGGAGTGGAGTGGAGCTGAGTGAAATTGGAGGGGGCTAGGCTATCTCTAGTTCTGCTCCAGTAGGGCTCTGTTGATTTCTATAGCTCCCCACAAGGCCTCGGGGAGGAAATATAAGTGTGTCAAGGTTTTGTGTGCCAGAAGATGAAGTTTCAACCACACCATATCAAGAAAATATTCTCTTCTGTTCCCACTTTTTTTTTTTACTTTTCCTCCTGCCCTTGTCCCCCTCACCCCCTGTGGTGCAAGCTCTCTCTCCTCTTCCCAAGTTTATTACTTTCCACTCTCTCCGCTATGCTTTTTCATTCCCACTAGATACCACACCTCCACTCCTTCCTTTGTGGATACAGGCGCTGCACGCAGGGATGACTTGTGGGCATATTAGTGGTAGTGGCAGGAGGGAATGATGTTGATGGATGCTATGCCTGTCAGTCATCACAGCCCTGACACAGATGTGTCAGATGAAGACGCGCTCTTTGAAGTTCACTTGAACTCTGCAAAGTTACTTTTCTTGCCTGCGAAACGCGTGGGTGTCTGCATGCGCGCACATGTGGGTTTTTATAATACGATGTAGGAACACAAAAGCAGCTGGAGGTTTCTGACTGTTCGAGCTCCTTCCGTAAACCTTCCTCCTCACATCCTGTTCGCATCACTTCGAACYGCAAAAGACCCGAAGCAACAAATCACATTTTGCTATCTGCATTTATTCCTCTGCAACAACAAAACAGCTTCAAAAGAATAAGGCCAAGAATGTTGCAGCCCCCAAAGGGTGGCAGTAAAAATAAACCACTAGCATAAAAGAATTGCAACCCACATACTGCCCAGTCCCATGGGTAACACTCTGTCAACCAGTTAAAAAGAACAGAAAAAAAAGCTGACAAGGAAATTTCTGTTGACACGTGAGRACTCTCACTAAAGGAAATCGTATTTAAATATTTGAAGGCAATACAACAACGAAAAGCAATTTTGACGCCGTMACATGTAGGATGAAGCCTAGTGAAAGAGCAACTGAGCAGAGCTGGCGCTGTGGATGAATGTTAAATGACCCCTACCATGTTCACCCAAGGTGGACGGGAATGAAACAAAGAGTGGAAGCCATCAACTTTATTCTTATGATATACTATTAGTATAAGTAGTATACTTGTGTGAATGCTTAATAAACACATGCACTTTAAGGATAGTGTTTCTCTTTCTTTTCACTACTATCATTATTCTGTATGTTTTTCCCCTAGTTTTTGTGCTATTTCAACAATTTACTCTAGCTGTGACTTTTGGTATTTTAGCAACTTATACTTTTTCAGCTATTTAGGTTTTCTGGTCCTGTTTTTTTTTTTTTTTTTTTCCTGAAAATGAACGGAGCAGTTTTCAACATCCTTAAAACTCATCAAAATGTTTATAAAGCTTTACTGCACTCTACACTTTTTAACATCTTAATGCTAATTTTAGATTCTTTTTGCTAATTGTAGTCCCCCCCTTATGGCAGCTAAAATTTTGCACCATTCTGCTATTGTTCTGCTCATATTTCTATTTCAAACTTCTTTCAGTTTTCTTCTGCTAATATCAGTTTTACTTCAATTTCAGCTACTATTTAGC